CACACACACACACACACACACACACACACACACACACACACACACACTTGCACTACCTTCTAAGGGAAGTTCACATGCCAATGATGTCTCACACCTTTGTGATAAAACATTACTACAATCCCAGAACACTTTGATGACTTCATTCACAGGTTAACAGCAGGTGCCTGTATTCTCACTGCAAACAAAAGGAGAGTCCTTCGCTAATAATAAACCATATAAATTTGCATTGATAAGAAATATCTTCACTATATGAGCAGACATATGTGGAAGAACAAACATTACACCTATATGTTGTTGCTGAACATCTCATTCAAAACTATAAACCTGCTGCTGTAACAGCCTTCACTGAACTGGTGAAGTTTTCCAAGGAATTTTTGATCCAGGCTGATGTTGGGCGATAAGTACCGGCTCACAGTTGAGGTTGAAATTCATCCCCAAATTGTTGAATGAGGCTCAAGTTCTTCTACACCAAAGTGCGAAAAACTTTTCGTTATGGGCTTCACTGCCTTTGTCCATTGTTGGAAGAAGACCATTGTCTAAAATATGATTGTGTCCTGCAGCATATTTAGGGGCACAGCATCAATCTTAAATATCATAGTCAAAATGTATTGGTCTGGGAGTACTACTGAGCCTGTGAAAACAGTTGTATAATGTTTTTAATGGCACTAAAGGAGCTTTCTCCCCTCTGGTTATTATATCATGTTGGGTCTCAATTCTAAACTTTTGAGCCTGTATTATGACATGTCTTTGAATCAATTAAACCTTTATGGAAGTGCCAGACTAAATCACTGAAGTGCTTTAGTGAGAACCAAGAAGCCTAGTCAACCATGACCAGCAGCCCCGGGCCAAAAGAACACAATGTGAAGATAGGTGTCCACATATTTCTGTCCGTACTATTTAACGTTACCTCTTCAGCAGCACTTCTGAATGCGCCTGTGCAGAGACACAGAGACAGCACGTCTTTCTTTGACGGGAAAGCAAAACTGGCCTATTTGACTCGTGCGTGTTTACATGCAGCAGTGTAATTATTTGCATGACAAAAACAATAAATTAGCCACATAACGTAACTTAAACGTTACTCAAAGTGCAAACTCGGAGCAGCGCCCAAAGCTGCAGAGACTCAGGAACGTTAACTGTTGACTGATTGATATTGTAACCGCGTACTCGCGCAGCAGATAACCACGTATAGAGTGCAGTAATGTTATCAAACCAAACACTGGTGTGCCAGCAACGTTGAATAAATGAATAGCAGCTAGCTAGCGCTGTCAAACTGTGGGCTGTAACATCGAGGCTAGCTCTCACCTGACAGGTTGCGTTTCTTGCCCTTACTGCCGCCATTTTTATCGTTAAAACCCAACGTCTCTGTGACTCCGTCTTTCTCCTCGTTCTTCTCTGTTTGGGCAGCCTTCCCGCCTCTCTCCCCGTCCTTCTTCTCCTTCTCCTTCTCCTGCTCCTCTCCCAGACCTGAGGACAGCGAGTCCGCCATCTTCGCCAAACGGTCTCATCTGATGAACTGAGCGACTGACATCTGCGTCACACGCTCTGACGTCATTACGTCTACTACACGGTGGTACAACCAGAGCCGTAAAAAGAAGACAGTCGCGTCAACGCAACTTCAGACAGTTACTTGAAGTACTTGGCGGGTAATTTGAAAGCGTAGATATTGGTAGAAATCGGTACAGAGAGACAGAACTATCAAATGCATTGATTTACAATATTCATACAGAGCAACGACATATGTAGTGGGATCAATTTTGTGTTTTTTAAAAGTAGAATTTGTATGTGGCGGAGGAGCTCTGCCAACAGAGAGCCAATGAGATATACTCACTGCAGCGTCATAATAAATTACACCAAAGCATTTACAAAAAGGACAATATCAATACAAAAGCACTCTATTATAAATAATAACATTACATTAACAAGATAAACTACCAACATATACAATATAACACACAAATATCAATATAAAGGGACTCCATTATAAATTATAACATTACAATAACAAGATAAAGTATAAAAATATACAATATAACATAACATTAACATGATAAAGTAAAATATACAATATAGCAGAACAATTTAAAAGGATTCCATTATAAACGATAACACAACAATAACAAAATGAAAGTACAAAAATATCCTTCGTGAATAATATGATGAGTATGATGAATAAGGGCTGCATGCCCTTTCAATGGAGAAAATGTAATGCAGTCACTGCCCTATAGTTAGAAAACCTATTAATTGTTTTTCGCTCCTGCCCCACAGACTGGTGAGACACTGCTCGATATAGTGCTGGAGTAAATGAAGCCTACTTCATTACTTTACACCACGAATTGCAGATAACCCTTAATGAATAAGTGGATTATGCAAGAATGAGAGATGCTAGTACTATCAACCCGAGTCTGAAATCATTGACCCCTCTGTGTTTCATACTCTGACCCGACCTTTAGGGTGTTACAGAGCACCCCATCAGTCATTCTGACGCCATTAACTACGCTTGCATGATCTTATTAACACCAATCGTGATACATTTCCAGACAGCAAAGGTTAATTCGTCCACTGAATAAAGAGGAGAGTGTAGAGGGAGGGACTCAGGCGCACTGGGCAGGGATAGAGTTTCTCCCGGTAACGGATCTCTTTGACCACCATAGATTCGGTTTCTCCTCCTCTGTGGACTCACATAACAAATACACGCGACATTTTACTCAGAGAAATAACTACCGATTATGATTAATTTCACCTTTTTTTTCTTACAAACTATAGAATAAACTCATGGTGATCGGTGAGTGCGCTGCGCGATCGCTGCCCCGCGTCGTGTTACCTTCCTCGGGGCACCATGGGCTCGTGAGATGCCTTCGCTGTGGAAACGGATAACCTTCTCGGTGGCCTCGGTGTTCTGTGTCGGCTCGGTGGTGCTCCTGGTCGTGGCCTTGTCCACGGAGCGGTGGGTCACCGGACGGATCCTGTGTAAAACCGGGGCGGAGATAGTGAACGCGTCCAACCCGGAGCTGGAGCAGTTCATCGGGGACATTTACTACGGCTTGTTCCAGGGAGGAAAGACCAAGAAGTGTGGGCTCGGCAACAGGCGCTCCAAAATATACAGTAAGATCAAATACTGCTCTCTCTTAATTTATCATAATACTAGATAGACTACACACAAAGTGTATTAAAATATTATTGAATAAAGACAATTATTTCTAGAAATATAAAAAAATAAAGATCAAATATTATGAAATACCATTGAATTGCGAAATAATGCAGTCAAAAATGTACATTTATTATTCAAAGTGGATTGTTTCTTTAGATTCTCATTACCTATCAGAAAGACTATTCTTCCTGAGGTCACATGAGTTTGTTTAACAGTGAAAATGACACATATAACATCTAATATATGCAGATGGCACAACATGATATTATTACATTTAATAACCAACAAAGCAAACTTGCAACCGATTTTAAGAGCAAACAAGTCCTGGAGATCACAAAGCTTTCAAACACACCAGATATATCAGGCTACATTTGGGGTAAATGTGTACAAATTGATGCACAAGACATGTTGAATATGTCTATTTGATGAAATAGCGCAACAATAAAAAGCACAGTCTTGGATTGAGTATTTAATTAAATGTAAACATATAACTTATAGAATATTATACTATCAGACAGTAGAATAACATGCTTTTTTTCCAGCCGTAAAGCTATAGGGAGAACTGTATATTTAGGGCTTATCTCACCAATACCCACTTGTTCTTAAATTAGAATTGAGTTATCGTAAGTTCATTACATCTTTTAATATAATTAATTATTATTACATTTATTTTAAAAGGCGTCTTTTAAATAAATGTTGGTCATTTTTGCTTAAAATAAACTCCATATAAACAATATTTAAAGCTCTCTTTTTTAATTCAAAGGATAAGAAACAAACATCACAAAGCACATTACTGCTGCAAACATCCAGAGATAGTTTTGCTAGATAGTTAGTTTATTAAATATCATAATAAACATATAAAATGATATAACATCTTTACATCTTCACATAAGCTCCAAAGCTGCATCCACATTTTGCTTCATTCTGCATTGTTTTTTTCATCTGTGCTTCTTCTCGGCCTAGTTTTCCCAAAGCTTGTGCGGGCGTTGAATGGCGGCCTTCACATGATGGTGATCCTGTTCTTGCTGGTGGCTGTGGGTTTCTCGTTAGTCAGTCTGTCTTTCTGCATATACAACGCACGCAAAGTTCCCTACCAGAGCATCAAAGGGCCCAAAGGCCTCTACCTGTGGAACTTCATTGCTGGTGTGTGAGGCAACTTTTACTCTTTCCCTCAGAATCTCCCTTTATTTCCTTGCTGACTTCACTTCCTGGTGCTTCTGAACTTCACCTCTCTATTTTTCTTCCAGCTCTTTTCGGTGCCCTGGGCATGCTGTGTTTCCTGGCAGCCGTGAGGCACCACAGTCTGACCGAGCGGGTAGCCAATCATCGGGAGAACCTCTTCGTGCTGGTTGTTCTGGACGACAGCCTGGACTGGTCCTTCTGGCTGGGTGTGGGCAGCATTGCGACTCACTTTGCCGTCTGTGGAGTGGTTGCCATGAGTCGGATCAAACTGCCCAAACCAGAGATCAAGAAACCTGAAGAACCCATCGTCTCTGCTTTGGACCTGCTCTACTGAAGGACCAACCAAGGAGCATTTACATCACCGGTGGTTGACTGGAGGAAACCACAATGACTGACAGCAGAGTGAAACCAGCACTGTGCCAGTGCCAAGAGTCCTGCATCCCAAACGTACCCTTTGCATTCTGGACATCCTGTGATGGATATATTCTGTCTATAGATGCAAAATGTAAATACATCATTATTTTTTCAGTTTTATTAGTTTTCATTATATGTATAGAATGTCATTAACTGATCTGTTTTTCAGTCACTTTATGGTTCACTTAAAGTCTCCAGTCTTTGTTTGAGATTTTAAGTTTTTTTTTATATTATTCTTGATCCCTGATAGAAAGTGTACAGCTTTTGCGTGAACCATTTATTTCACAGGGAGTTGTGGGCTTATGTATGTAGAGTATACCATCTTCCATAAACAGATTGAGATTTCTAATTATCAATTAATTGTATTCCCTTTTATTTACTTTATCTTGGTCATAAAAAGTCCCTCACATCTGGAGAAGTCAGCTGTTATAAAGAAAAAAGTCACTCTGGCCATCATTTAAAGAACTTGTATTACATTTAATAGATTGGTTATAATTTCCTGGACATTAACACACTAATATTTACACAATACATCAATTAAATAATTATAGTTGAAGTACGTGTTTGCGTTTTATTGTTGTTATTATCTCCTAATGACCTGAAGCTTTGTCTTTTCTCTTTTATTTGCTCTCGACAGTAATATCTAAACTTGCAAATATCAGTTTCCTGACCCAGTGAGGATTTCCTTATAATATAAATATACTTTATGATGTCAGTGAATCTACTGTATGATGTCAGTGAAAGAGAAACATCAACTGACACCTTTGTCTCTTGGAAGAAATAATTGTCTAGCTAAACAGTGTGCAAATTCATTTTAAGTATAAGATTGAAATGATGTGACATTTTGAATCTGAATTAGACAGAATACATGCACACATATGCTTATAAAAGTGGAGATTATTTGAATTACTGCTAGGAAATTAATTTATTCCAGAGGATATACGTTTTATATTAATCTATAAAAATACATTATCATTTATTTATTGATTATATGTTGTATTATTTATCTGATTGTAAATTTGTCAGACAAGAAAATGGAATTACGTATTAAGAATAGTACTTGAGTAAATGTACTTAGTTACTTTCCATTAGTGGTTAACTGTCTCTTTAGTTTTTAGGCTGCAGCTGATTCAAAGCCTCCTGTAGCTTTTCACTGCTGCCGCCATGTGGCGACAAATGACCGCCTTAGTCGCTTTTTGGTGACGTATGAAAAACGCGACGGTGTCAGGTCGATCGACTCTTTGCACATGTATGCGACCTCTACATCTCTGAGTTAATAGTTTGTTTCGGGGGTTTCTACATGTACAACAGATGACAATGCTTCTTTTAAGGAGAACCGTGCAGACGACGGTGCGGACAAAATACTGTAGGTCATTTTCTGCGTCACAGACTCACCTGAACGAGAGAAAAGTAAGTAGCTGTTAGCCATTAGCCTGTCAACCATTAGCTGACAGATAGTTTGTTACATCAGTGACTCTCACAGGATTCATCAGCACTTCACACTGGATCTCAGAGGTTTTAACACTTTAAGAGAATTTATTCGTGTGTGTGTGTGTGTGTGTGTGTGTGCGCGTGCGTGCGCGTGCGTGCGTGCGTGTGTGTGCGTGCGTGTGTGTGTGTGCGTGCGTGCGCGTGTGTGTGTGTGTATTTATTTATAAGAGCATCAGTGTGTGGGTGTGTTTGAGAGTGTCAACAACTGTGTTGATGTACAAGTTACTTCCAGTCATCACCCGCTCACTCTTTAATTAGCTTCAAATATGCATTTCACAGCACATTTCAAACACAGAATTAATTCAAAGTGCTTTACATTTAAATAGTCAAATAAAAGCATTAGCATGTCGTTTAAACACAATAAGCAATACAACCAGAGACAAATTAATGAAGTTTGAAATAAAGAGCAATGTGATTTTAAGGTAAACTAAACAAAAACAAGTGGCTGGACCAGAAACACAATTACAGTGCAGTAAGTTCCCCCTAATGTAACAAAGGAAATAAAAATGCAGCATAGAAGCCAATCAATCAAAGGTGCATGAGAACAACAGAGTTTAAAATTTAGGTTTTAAAGTGGCTAAAGTTTGAGATTTGCATAGTAGCTAAAAGCAGCAGGTTTGTTCTGACTCAAGGTACTACAGCTGCATGCTTCCTTGAGATCAAAAAATGTACTTGATGTGAAGAGTTGCATCCATGGCAAAAAAATGCATTTAATCCGAATTGTGAAGGTGTCAAATATGATCGCTCATTGCAGAACAGTAATACAACTAGTCAGTGTAATCTGTGAGGTTTGTGGTGAAACTGACAAGAACTTTGAGCTAACAACAGCCTGATAACCAATACATAAAATAGGTGCAGTGCTCATGTCGATTGATTCGCCATAATAACACAAACAACAAGCAAGCACAGTAGTTTATTTTTCTTATTAGGACGAGAGCTATTGATATGTTAACTGACAGAATTATAGATTGATCGGTTTGTGGGTTCCTTTTCCTTTTGTTCGTGTGTGTCTACAGGGTCTGGTGCTGGGAGTGTTTGAGAAGGAGGGAGAGGAGGGCGGCCTTCATCTCACTGAATCTGCTGCAGGTTTTGACCAAAATCTTTCTGGGAAACTTTCTGAACTTCTGAAAATGTAAGTCTATGATATCTGTGAGCTGTCAGTACAAGTCTTGTTATGGGAAGGATAACAATAACAGTCTTATACAATGGTGCTGCAATGAATCCTCTTTTCAATAAAGTTATTATCAGTTTTTAATGAAACTCTTTTAGAGAGTTGTTGATTTACTGCCATCCATCTGTATACAGTGCTGTATACTGTTTACCTGGTCAGAACAAAACAATGAATGATGCAACATTCAGACTAAACATAAGGCGCAAACAGCAAAATTGGACTACAAACTGCATTTTGTTTTGCAACCCTGTTAGTGAAACCTTCCAAAAACACACATAACAGGCAAGTCAAATGGTAGAAATATATGAATATAAATAAACAAGACAGACAAAAACCATACTGATGCATTCCTGGATACCACGTTAACACGTGTCTCTGTCTAATCTGTTGCATAGTTAGTTAATAATCTGGTTTTGTTTTGCTCTCTCCAGCTCTGGACCGGCTCTCAAGAAAGGCAAAAGCAGAATATTTTATGGAATCGACAAGGTAACAAGAAGTGACATTCGAATAAGACAAACCCGGTCTCTTGACAACGTCGGAGTAATTAAATCTTCCCTGTGTCTTCTCCAGGACTTCCCGTGTGTCGCAGTAGTCGGGCTGGGTAAGACCAGTGCAGGTGTGTGTGGATCAGAAAACTGGGACACCAGCAAAGAGAACATCAGACAGGCAGTGTCAGGTAAGACACATGTCTCTGCTCGTCTTCGTACGGGCAAATATTTCCATTTCGTGCAATGTAATGGCATCTTTTCTTATCTTACTGGAGTTACTACCTGGCTGATATCTGCGTATTTGTCTGTGCATGCTCAGTTGGCTGCCGGCTGCTTCAGGACCTGGAGGTGAACCATGTGGAGGTGGACGGCTGCGGTGATGCCCAATCAGCAGCAGAAGGCGCCGCTCTGGGTTTGTTCCATTATGACCAACTCAAGTCCAAGAAGAAGACCAAAGTAACCACACAGCTACATGGAAGGTAGACTAACAAATGATCTGTAGCACAAAGCCGGGGCATTTATTACACGTTATTACAGATGTACGCAGCGTCATGCTAACGTGTGTGTGTGTGTGTGTGTGTGTGTGTGTGTGTGTGTGTGTGTGTG